AGGGGCCGTTTGGTTCATGGGAAAGGAGGCATAGGAATGGGAATTCAATTGCTTTCCCATGTTTGGTAAGTCCGGGAATGGGAAACGGATTCCTGGCACATGGGAAAGTAGGGGGGAAAGTGATGCCCCCCTCTTAACTTGGGTTTTGCTTTCCCTCCTCATGGGAAAGTTTGGGAAAATGTGCCAACATTCAATGCATAATTTTCATGACTATTTTGTCCCTATGAACAATTTATAATTACAACGTATCATTAAATGCATTCTTTTTTTTATTTGATTTAATATGGGTATAATTGGAAAATTATACAATTTTTGTTTTCCATTCCTACTCAAAACAAACATGGAAAAGGAAACAAAGTGAAATCTCCCGATTACTTTCCCAACATTACCAAACGTGGGAAAGGAATCTTTCATTCCCATTCCTTGGGAAATGACATGGGAATTGATTTCCCCTCAAATCCATTCCGTGAACCAAACGGGCCTTAGGGTTTAAAGGGTTTAAGGCTGCTTCAAAGTGACGAAACGCATTTCAGTCCCTTCTTTCTCTCAAGTTACTCCATGGCAAAGAACGGTACCGAATACGAACCCACATTCACAGATGACGATGATGAAGAATCCGAAGAGCTCCAAGACTGGAACGATTGGGATGCAAAAGAAGAAGAAGAAGAAGAGGGCCCAGACTTCCTGTGTTTCTTCTGTGACTCCAGGTACAGTTCGTGCGATGACCTCTTCGACCACTGCAGTTCGACCCACCATTTCGATTTTCGCGCCATTCGGAAAGCGCTGGGTCTGAATTTCTACGGCTCCTTCAAGCTCATTAACTTCGTTCGCTCTCAGGTCAGTGACTGAGCTGAGATATAAAGAAAGGAAATGAAAAAGGGATAAAATTTTAATAGAAAAATGGAGTGTTTTTTGTACTCTAATTTCATATGGAAGTGGTGATGGGATTAGATTTGTTTGAGTAACTCTTTTCTCCTTCGTTTTCTTTTTTTGTCAGAAAGTTTTTTTAGAATTCAATTTCATCATATAGTTTCTTTGGCTGAAAATGCTAAGAAATGTCCAAAATGGAAAATTTGGTTCTTTATCTACAATAAAATAATTTAAATGATTTCGGTTGTTAGGATATGAATTAAAAACGGGTGAGAAAGAACAATCTTTGAATCCTTATTCTCTACAGTGATGGCTTAAGAGGATCGGCAACACGAAATGCCCAAATCAAATAGTAGTAGTTTGCTGAGTTTGTATTGATTGTTGTGTTTTTATTCTTTTCTTAAGTTTATCATTTTTCTTTCATTTGTTGCTATGTGGTGTGGCTTAGTGTTCTGTCTTAGGAATTTGAATGTTAATTTGCAGAGCAAAATGTTTTCCTTCATGTTATAGTTTTGGAGTTTTTATTTTCTTATTTTCCACTTGTTTAATTTGTTTCCAGGTTGTGGAAAATAGATGTTGGAGTTGCGGGCTAACTTGTCAGTCCAACCAAGATCTACAGAATCATTTGCATGAAACAGTCAATTTCAAAGACATGACACCTCTGTGGGATAGTGATGAATATCTTAAACCTTTCTTGCAAGATGATTCGGTATTGTATAGTTTTGGTGAAGATGAAGAAGGTGAAGATGACTACACTGCAGTAGTTGACAAGGAGGAACTTATGAGTGATTTGAGGCATTTTGAAGAGATATGCATTGATCATGATATTCACGTGGAAAAGATTGCGATTGATTTTGATACCTCTTATGAAAGTGGGAAAAGCAATGTTGCTTCATCATCCAATGGCTACTCAAACAATGAGGGTTCTCCCGGGAAGGTGACTATCAATGGTATGGATTCAGGAGAACATGTTGAGTCAGCTGGCAGAAAGACAAAAGAAAATAAATTAAGAGCATATATTCCAAATCATGGTTCGAAGGATGTCAAGAATATCAATGATGATTACTTTGGCGCTTACAGTTCATTTGGCATTCACAGAGAGATGATCAGTGATAAGGTATTCAATTAATCTTGAGGTTGTTGGCAGAAGAAAGTTTGAACTGAAAAGGTCTAACTATTTTGGTATTTTGGTGTTATTTAGACTCGTGTATTGTCGTTGTGCAGGTAAGAATGGATGCTTATAGACAAGCTATTTTAAAGAATCCCTCTCTCCTAAAGAGTGCTGTCGTGATGGATGTAGGTTGTGGCACAGGTATACTAAGGTGAGACCACATGCTAGTTGCTTTCTTATGAAAGTAACAATTACTTGGTTCTTTGTGATTCTATACTTATTATGGATCTGATCCCAGTGCCAAATGACAATATTGTGAAAAAAAACTCTGCTGTTCACTTTCTGTGTCCATGTTGTAACATTTCTAGTAGTTTTACTTTTCGAAATTGTTGTTATTGTTGAGCTTGGAATGTTCACTTTGTGAGTGTGTTCGTGTGAGCACGGATCATGTGAAAACCTTTTGATAATTTCATCATGATATTAATTGGAGTACCGTGGGAATGTTAGCAAGAAAGAGGGATGACTTTGGTTGGAAGGTACTTATTAATTCATGGAAAATGAGGACCTTGTCCCTTGTAAGGGGAAGACACGTCTTTGTATTTGTTAAATACTTCTGTAATTTGGTAGAACATTATAATTTTATATTGGATTCATTTAAAAGCAAAAAGAAAATTTACATGAGATTCTTCATTAAAGCTTGTTTTGTCACTAGGGAGGTTATGGATTTATATTAATGCTCTGTCTTTGTTTGTTCTATTGAGGTGATAATGTTTCTTGATTTACTGTATTGCTCATAAATCATTTTAACGACATGATTTTTTGTTGCATTTGAACACTAGTAATGACTGGAAACTTCGCTAACTTCTTTGATTTGGTCAGTTGAACATGTACTCTAGGAAAAAGTTTAACATGGAATAATAATTGCTAGGATAATCTCCTTAGGCAACATTTAAAAAGTGAAGGAAAGAAGAAAAGGGGCAGAAACCTTGGAAAAGGAAAAAGTTTTGTGGCCCTGTCAATAACATATGTAAGTTTGACTTTGTAGGAGACTTTTTTTATCGTATGTGTTTATCTAACGAAAATGGGTTGCAGAGCCCTGTATTGGCTTGGCTTGGCTCTTGCAGCTGATGTAGAGATTGTTTTAAATGTTCCCAGGATTCAATCTAAAGTATCTCTGGAGACAGATTTTATTAGAAGGTTTTTGCATTTTAATGTATATGAATACTACGGTTTCAGTTTAAACATTTCAGATTATTGAGTAGTTGAAAGATGCTAGTGACTGTATGGCTTGTTAACTAGCTACTGTTACTATGTATTATCTATCAATTCAACATTGATGTGGTTGAGCCATTCACTTGTTGTCTTGCATACTTGCATAGAATTGCCAACTTGTCCTAAAGAAAAATACAACTGTCAGTCAATAGCCAGCCTACAGATATTAATTTCAGCCTTCAAATATTAATCTGTAAAAGCTGTAATTTTGGTGATTATTATCAACGTTGCATTAATGGACAACATATAATGCTTATCTAATTCTCTTTTCTTCTTCTCATGATAGTCTCTTTGCAGCCCAAGCAGGGGCTTCAAAAGTAATTGCTGTTGAAGCAAGCGAGAAGATGGCTGCTGTGGCAACTCAGGTAAATTTTGCCCTCTTAAATCCGCTTCATGTCCTATCAGAGTTTGTTGCAAGTACGTCATTGGTATATTTAATTGCAGATAGCGAAAGATAATGGTCTTTTGTGGAGTAAGAGCCCTGGTGATAGTACTAACCATGGCACTGGGGTAATAGAAGTGGTTCAAGGTATGGTTGAGGAGCTTGATAAATCCAGACTAATTCAACCTCATAGCGTTGATGTGTTAGTGAGTGAATGGATGGGGTATTGCCTACTTTATGAGACAATGCTCAGTTCAGTGCTTTTTGCACGGGATCAGTGGTTGAAACCTGGTGGTGCCATTCTCCCTGACACAGCAACTATTGTGAGTTCTCTCTAGCCTCCTGCCTCTGAGGTCCTTCTCATGCTTCTTCAAATGTGGTTCTTAGGGTTGCTTTTTCCTTTTGTTTTCCTTTACATTGCTTTTAATCTTTTCCTTTTTTTGTGTTAGTTTGTTGCAGGATTTGGAAAAGGAGCTACTAGTCTTCCATTTTGGGAAAATGTGTATGGTTTCAACATGTCCTGTGTTGGCAAGGAGCTTTTTGAAGGTGCTTCCAAAATCCCTTTTGTAGATTCCGTGGATGATCATGGTTTAGTGACCAGTGCTGCTGTTCTCCAGGTTGGTGTTATGCTGTTATTAAATTTTGAGATATGCACATAATATATTGGGTCTTCAATTGGTGTTGTTGGTTTTATACCATGACTTTGTGATGGGGATCAGTCCCTCTTTGTGTGCTCCACCCACTCCATGATACTCAATTTTTCTTCATGCTCATCTTTTTTGTCTTGTTCTTTATATTCATGCCTTTTGTATGATGAAGCATCTTTTGATAAGGAAAGGAAAGTTACGATGCCTATAATAAGATACCAAAACTAGAAAGAGAATCTGACTACTTATTCAAAGACAACCTTAAATAATTGATAAATCACATTGGAACTCCATGTTCTAAGTTAAGGTTAAGTTTGGATTAATTTCTGGATCTGAATTATTTATTATTTTTTTGCAATTTCAAATTATTCTCAATTGGTTGGCATTCTTAGTTTTCGTTTTAAAGTTGTGCACTCACTGGCTTTTATCTTGTCACACATTGTTAGTATGACTATAAATGAAGAAAGAAAATGCAGAATATGGCAGTGGCTAGCACCCAAGCCTTGATGATAAGCATGGATCAAAACTTTAAGCATACAAGATTTAGGATAAACATAGGCAAGAGGGAAAAATCCACCTAAAGATTTAGTTTTTATTTATGCTGAATATTTAATCTAGAGAAATCTTTGCTCTTGTGATTTTTTTTAGCATCCAAATTTGGATCATCTCATGAATGTACAAGGCTGAGATATTATTATTATTTTTTTAAATTGAGCTTCAATTTTTGGGAATTTACGAAGTTAAAGATTTTATGTCAAATAGAATGTGGTGTGGACTGTATAAGCATACCAGTGACTCAATCAGATGGACAATGATTTTCCTCGCTTTTGTTTCACAGAGCTTTGACTTGGTGACAATGAAGCCGGATGAAGTCGATTTTACTGCAAATGTTGAGTTGGAACCAAACTTGGGTGCTGCAGCTGGCAGCTTAACTGATTTGAAATCTGAAACAACCTGGTGTTTTGGAGTTGTGTTGTGGTTTGAGACTGGTTTTACCAGCAGGTTCTGCAAAGAAATGCCAGCTGTTTTGTCCACATCCCCATATACTCCCAAAACGCACTGGTTGCAAACAATCTTGACATTCAAGGAACCAATCGCTGTGACATCAGGAAAATCTAACATTGACAAATCAGCAGCGGTTGGCACTGAAGCTTGTCCTGCTGTGAGAATTCCTCTGCGTATAAGCATTGCCCGGGCTTCTCAACATCGTAACATTGACATTTCCTTAGAAACTGCTGGAGTTGATCCTCATGGTCGGAAACGAAACTGGCCTGTGCAAATTTTTAATCTAGGTTAGTGTAATGATCAAAATTTGGAATCCTGATTGCCCGTGCCGGAGTTGATCCTGATTGTGGGAAACACGGTTGGCCTGTGCAACATAGTAGTCAACATCAGTCTAATGATCCAGACCTATGATCAGCCCACTTGAAATCTTCCGTTTTGGCTGCTAGGGTGGATTAGGTTTCCATCATTGGATTGTTTCACTTCGATTTTTCTTCTGAAGATTTTTGTAGTATGTATTATGGCTTGCATATCTTGTTCAATAGTGTAAAACAGACAATCAGTTATGCCTTAACATTTGAGCTCTTCTAAAGGGATACGGTTTCAATTAGCTTCAGTGTGTCTTGCCTGTAGCCTTGCTGTTGGTTTTATGTTGTTGTGAACTTCGTTAGCAGTTAAATAGAATATTTAGGATAATTACTTGATTTATAATCTATAATCTATAATCTATTTTCAGTGTAACAAGTATGAAACAATTAGCAAACACTTTTATGGAAAGAGTTACCTCGAGTCAAAAGCCTTGAAAGTTCTTTGCGGTCGGAGTTCCCAATGATTAAGAGCCTCTTTAATGAGTTGTAAATGAGTTTTTTTAGCAAATATTTAGAGGGGAGTTAAGAAATGGCAAGAAGTCATTTTTTGTTTTGGTAGTTTACCACTTTTATGTTGTTGTGAACTTCGTTAGCAGTTAAATAGAATATTTAGGATAATTACTTGATTTATAATCTATAATCTATAATCTATAATCTATTTTCAGTGTAACAAGTATGAAACAATTTAGCAAACACTTTTATGGAAAGAGTTACCTCGAGTCAAAAGCCTTGAAAGTTCTTTGCGGTCGGAGTTCCCAATGATTAAGAGCCTCTTTAATGAGTTGTAAATGAGTTTTTTTAGCAAATATTTAGAGGGGAGTTAAGAAATGGCAAGAAGTCATTTTTTGTTTTGGTAGTTTACCACTTTTATCACCAAGTAGTTTACCACTTTTATCCTCCAAGTAGTTTGAATTCCAAGCAAGTCAAGGACATTCCCCAATTTCTGTTGACATGGAGGAGCATTTCAGTCTAATCTTACAATCCCTCCCAACCACTCCACAACCACCTTCTCCCATCCCTCTTTCCCCTTCCTACCCAACACGCTCCCCACCCTATAGCCACCACCCAACCACCTTCTCCCCTCCATCCTCCCCCTCCCAACCCAACATTTTGCTCCCTCGCTCCACAACCACCTTTCCCCCTATCTCTTTCTATTATCAAACTCCTACCCTAATTCCATGCATTGCCTAAAACCTCTTCTCATGAACCCAAATTCCCAAAAACCAAAGGCAAGAGATTAAGACTAAAAAGTCACACAACTTTTAATTCAAAGTCACACAACTTTTAGGGCATGTTTACGTATCAGTAATGGAGAAAGTAAGGAATCATAGTATTTAGAAATCGGATAAGTACTGAATCGGTATGGGAAGAATCATTCCCATTAAGCTGTTTACTAAACATATGGAATTAGCAAAGGAATGGGGTTGATTCCCATTGTTATTGTTTACTAATTTTCATGAATCAAAATCCAAATTAATTTGATTACTAAAATGCCTTGCACATTTTCCCCACAACACATGTATAATTCTCAAATTGGCTAAGGAGACCAAACTAATCCTGCAGCAAACTAGTAAGCCGGTGTAAACATGAAGAATTAATATGCTGAAACAGATGAATAGCAACAGCCTAGTTCAATGGTAATGTTAATAACACCTTTGTCCAGAGCCAATTTCAAACGAAAAAATAAACTCCAATAAATATATCTTTCACCTACGTAACTAGTAAACAATCAAGTAGTAATAACCTGCATAATCTTCATACTACCAAAAAAAAGAGATATCATCTCCACAAAAGTCATTCACCCATTACTCATCAGTCACAATCACTGTAAGCCATGCTCCATCATATTAAATACGTAATCTTTTTTTTCTTCATCAGTCATGGTAAAGAAGACCCTCATATGAATGAACACCTAAAAAATAGATGGTTTGGATCATTGGAAAAAAAATTGTTGGGTACCCTAAAGGGTGTCCCTCAATAGAAGAGGACTATATATATATATATGAATGCATTGAAAAAGAAGTTGGGGTGTCTTTGAAATTTTTGGCATGAGTTTTTATTTTTTTTAGGGTTTGGGGTGTTTTGGAATTATGGTAAAGTAGTAAGGGTATTTTTGGAAGTTAATAAGGGAAAACAGGAATGAGAATCGTATCGACTACCCCCCACTAGGTTATCTGATACCTGGTTTTGAGGGGATGTGATTACGGATTTTGAGGTGGGGCCCACTTATTTTTTCATTCCTAATTGCAAGTAAACGCAGGGGAAGTCAGGAATGGAAATCATTCCCTTTCCTCTCATACCCATTACTGATACGTAAACATGCTCTTAATTCAAGATTGGAAGTTAGGAACTTTGAGACTTGAAAGCAGAAAAATTGATAAAATGAAAACTACAAAAGCCTTAATGGTAAAGTGTAGGGACAAAAATGACTTTTAATCTTAAGAAAACTTGACTTCAATATACAACTCCTAAAATAAAAAGGCTTTTATGTGCTCTAGTATAAATTAGAACTAGCCCCTATGTGCCAATTGGTTTTCTTTTTTATTTTTTATTTTATTTTTAGAATTAAGAAAAGATAACATAGGTAGTTATGTTCCATAAAAGTAGGACCTATTATCTGATTTTATTTTTAATTTTAATTTTATTTAATATAAAAAAATGTGAATTTACCATATTATCTTCATTTAATTAATAATTTCAATTCTTATTGTTTGAATTAACCAAGGGCATTTTCTAGTATTTTGAATGTTTCACCATTTTTTGCCTTTTGCTTTATATATATAGAAGAAATGGTAAATTACTCAAATGGTCCTCAAATTTGTACCCAATTTACATTTTGGTCCCTAAACTAAATTATTCATTCAAATGGTCCACCAACTCTTTATTAATCGGCGCTTTGGTCCTACCGTTACATTTTCTGTTAAATTTAGTCATGTGACCAACACATGCTACATTTGTGGGGGTAAATTAGACTTTTGACAACTAAATAAAAAAATATATGATTAAAAATTAAATGATACAAAATTTTCTTTATGTTTAAAATTAATTAAAAACCATAAAAGAATTTTTAAAAAAAACAACCAAAAGTAACCCAAAAAAATAAAAAAAAAGTCTCTCTCTCTCTCAAATTTTTTTTTTCCAAAATAATTAAAAATTGAAAAAATTACATGGAGGAGGTGACATGGAGGAAGGGGAAGATAGGGTGGGTTGTGGGGAAGAGAAGATGGGGCAATGGGGTTATCGGGTTGGGGGTTGGGGCTGGGAGTTGGGAAATAGGTTTTTTTTTTTTTTGGGTTAATTACCCAAAGGTTTACAAACAACAATTTGTATCACCCCTTTATCACCACTGTATCACCTATGTATCACCACTGCATCACTTATGTATCACCACTTTATCACCTATTTGGGGAATATAGGACGGTTATGGACGGTTTTACCCTTACATTTGACGGTAACATTAACAGAATGTAACGGTAGGATCAATTGAGCGATTAATATAGAGTTGATGGACCATTTGAATGAATAATTTAATTGAGGGACCGAAATATTAATCGGATATACGTTTGAGAACCATTTTAGTAATTTACCCATATAAGAAACATGTCTTGAAAATAAATTTTTTCAAGTGGGTGGGTTGTTGGAATAAGAGTGGGTTGTGGGAAGAGGAGAGCGTTTGAGTATAATTAAAAACTTAATAAAACAAATAAAATAAATAAACTTATTATTGTGTAAACATTACACTTAGTTTTGGGACACACACCACAAATGAATGGGCCTCTTAAAGAAAAAGAATTGGATTCTAACAATAGTTTTTCTACAATTCTAATAGTATTTTTACTTTTTTTTTCTTTCCTCTATATATGTATTGACCAATCTAATTTCTCAGCAAATGATTGTGAACCAAGTGGGAGACGACTTTGGGATAGGTGGGATTTCCTCATCCAAACACACGATAAAGCTATTTTGTTTTTGGAACTAGTTTTTTCTTTTAAGATTTGGCAGAGTATTCCAAGATTTATTTTATAATTTTGGACTGGGAAAGCTAGTTATTTATTTATTTTTTCTGCTGAAGTAAAATATAGTTTATTTAAATGCAACTTTGGTGGATGAAATAAAACTGCCACATAGAAACTAGTTTATCTAAAAGAGGTCCCACCTTAAATACCCAAAGATTTTCAATTGAGTCATTGTCAAGCAATCCACATGGCCTCAGAAAAGTAAGCAAATCACACGGTGGAGAACCCAACTCAACTCAGATTTTTCCTCTGCTGTGCACTCACACAAAATATCTAGGGGCGCGCAAAACTCCTAACGACCCCCACTGCACATAACACGTGGCACCTTCTGATGCAATGCGTTTGTCAGTCGTTTCTTACTTACGTGGGGCCCAATCCTCTCCTCAATGCTTTCCGTCTTCACAACTGCGCCCAAGTATTATATAAATGACCACCTTATTTTTCACAACTCCACCTTCTCTCTCTCTCTCTCTCTCTCTCTCTCTAATCTAACCAGGTCCTATTTCTCTCTCTCGATTTTTTATTTTTTTATTTTTTGGATGAATTTGTTTTTAGGTTTGATTGAATATATTTTTTGGGTTATTTTAATTGTTGTTTTAATTGTATATTGGGGGTGTGATGTGTGCAGGTGGGAATTGTAGAGGAAGATCTGATGTACCTACTGGGGGATCTCAACTATACAAAAGATCATGATGGCCCTTGAACAAACAGGTTCGATATATTTTTTTTTCAAGGGGAAAATTGATTAAATTTGTACTCTTTGCAAAATTTGATCTCACAGTTACTGGTTCAATTCACAGTAAGTTTGTTATGTTCGGTTTCTTTTGGATGGCGAATTATGTTATAAGTTATTTATTTTATGTTGGGTTTTATTCTTTTTGTATTTTTTGAGTGTTTGGGAGCAGTATGTTTGGTGTTATATAATGTAATTTAGCTTGATTAGATGCAATTGGGGTGCAAGGGGGTAAAGGAGAAGTCTTTTGATGATGGGGTATGCTATCTGTTGGGACCTTGTAGATGATTGTAGCCTCTACATCCATTGGGAGATGAATGTGGTAGCATATTGTGTAGGGGATGTGGGTTTTTGATTGCAGGTAGAATTGAGATGCCAAGGCTGTGCTGTGCTTGAA